AAAGGAGGAGGTGGTTGTGTTGAGGTCGGCGTCTGTGGCTTGGGCGTTGCGAACGAGCTTCGTAATGCCAGGGTGCCGGGTTCGATCCCAGCTGCGGGCCTTGCGATGGTTTCGACAGGGCTATCGAGAAGCCGACCGTTCAGGGGCAATGACAAACGACTGGGCGTAAATTTGCCTAGAAAAACCACACTAGCCAAAAAATGCTGGGGTTGGTTCTGCAACGCCCTGTTGTTGTTATGAGCGCATGAGCTTTCGCCCTTTGGCCCAATGCCATGTAGTGGGATTTGCATGTTCTCACAAGCTGTTCTCTTCCTCCGTACAAGGTGTTCCACTTGTCAGATCCCAGAGGGAGTAGCATTCTTCTAGTCTCGCTAAGTTTTGGGCACTCAAAGAGATGGTGTTCAACAGTTTAGTAGGGGTAGTTACATAGCTGGCACTCTGGGGAGTGTTGTGGCTGTATTCTGTTTAGATGTCCATTGAGTGAAGTATGTTGCGTTCTAAGTCTGAAGATGGTGGCCTGGTCCCTTTTTGTTAGATGGTTAATGCTGTCATTGGGATCAGGGCCAGCCATGTGTCTATAAACCTCTCTCAACGCCCTGTAGGATGCGCAAATAAAAGAGAGAGGTTGTGTTGAGTATACCGTGAACAGACAAGAAAACAAACATCGGAGGTACTAACTGTGACAGCCTTACTTGAGTATTCATCAGAGCTATAAGGAGAATACTCCACAACCGGAACCGGAGTAGAATTCTATAGAGATTAAGATGCACAGCGCTGAATCTCTCCACGTTCACAAACCAGTAGAGGGGCAAGACCGGTACTGCAACTTCGCATCGGAACTTTGTGAGATATCACACGTCCATAGAGGAGGGAGGGGCGCCTGGTGTTATCCCTGAGAAGGGGGTAGGTGTGGACAGCAAATGTTTCCGCACCGGGTAATACATTACAAGCAATACCACTGTCCGCTCTGAAGCATCCCGTCCCCCGAAAACAATCATACGGTATATTAAAACGCAACACATGAGAGGTTATTTGGTCATCTCGCGAGAATGGTCTGCTACCAGCTGTCATTAAAACCGACCGACTAAACATAATGTATGGAACGACAGCATTAAGAACAGCTTCAGAGAAATGAAGATTAGTTATATGCCTTATTAGAAAAGCACACAGAAGATCCTTCAATCTGTTTCCTCCCCATCCCCCCCTCCCCCATCAATTCAATGAATCCGCTGGTAGGAGGAGAGAAGAATTATCCGTATGCACTTGTTTTCGAATTGATTCAATTGCCAAGCGTATGTTTGCAAATAACCCCAGCTCGCTGGGTGAACACAGGTCTGACAGTCGGTAAACTTGTGTTACGGCAGTTATCGAATGTTAGCGAATATGCTCGTGGGCCGTTTCTATGGTGACGCCATGTCTGTTTTATGTTGTTTTTAATCAGTCAGTCACCCAAGGAGTGGCGTCTTCACAGCGAAGGTTGGCTGCTTTGGATCTCTGAGACCGCTGGTCGCCCATCTCTTGATATTATTCTTTCACTAGTACAGCTAGCCATCAGTCGCTTGCCTGCCTTAATCCCCCCCCCCCACTCTTTCTCTCTCCCATATATTTTAAATTGTTTTTCTCCTCTCTCTCTCTCTCTCTCTCTCTCTCTCTCTCTCTCTCTCTCTCTCTCTCTCACCCTTCCCCCTTTGTTTAGCGTATTCTTGCACCGGAAATTTCGTTTGCCCCCCCCCCCCTCCCCACCCATCCCACCCCTGTTAAAAATATTTACGTGAACAAGCAACTACAGTCCACGGCCTTCTCTATATATCCAGGCGGACCTGCTACAGTCCCAGTCTATCAGGACCTCTCGTTTGACCGTCCCCCTGCGAAGACAGAGCAAGTCGCATAGGATTTGTAAACACCAGAGCAGTGAAATCTTCATACTCGCCTGTTGTACATTCATGCTCTTGAATATAGATAGTTTTGCCCCTCCTTCTCGTTTCAGTATTATTCCCGATTTAATCTATGCTAAGCATATGACGTTTTGTCCACTTGTGGGCTCCCGGGCTGTTTTGTAGAGATAACAAGAATAGACCCACTGCCTACCCAAAAGCACGTCGATTAATTGGGAGCTTCCTTTGAAGTCGGAGTGCATCTGCCTGAAAGGCAAGGAACCAGCAGTATGCACACAGATAAGTCAGATCTGTAAAACGGATGCGCGCGCAACACTTAGGTTCTGGAACAGAGCTACAGTTCAGTAGTGGACGAACAAAGAAGATATGAGGTTTTGTACCTTTTCTATCTTACTGCTTACTTTGATATTTATTTTTGGAATTTTATTTTTAATGCATGAACTAACTGTCTTCCCACCCCCAACACCGTAAACAATTAGGCTCAGTTGTGCTTGGCGCTGCATGCTCTTTACCTAACATAACATTACTTCCATTATGTATTCCAGTGTCTACACTGCACTTTTACCTTCGATTAATTTACTTTGCACGCCCTATCGCACCCACTTTTGTTCAAGATTTCATTAACCTTTTAAATTGTGAAATGCATTAATAGGACGACGGCAAGGCGTGGGGCAAAGCACGCCGCTGTGTGATAATCACCTACAAAACGCATATAAATATCCCTGCAATTAACAGATCCCATGAGCCATACCGGATATTCCTTCAGCATCGATTTTGCCATGCATAGTCTGCCTAGTAAATAATTTAACCGTACACCGGCTAGATTCGCATTGTCAGGGTGCAAGTGTGTCATTTGTTTTATCTGATTTTAAGCCCACTAGTAAAGTCACGGGGATTGATGGGCACTTATAGAATTTTGAGGACGAACAAGTAGAGATTAGATGACACAGTAGACAAATTGAAAGCTATTATATAATGATCACAAAAGAAGTTTTCGTTCACTTAGGTATATTTCTGAGAGAATTTTAACCAGCCGTGTCTTGCAGATCTGCTCCCGTTTTTACCACCTGCTCTGTTTCACTCCATACATACCAGTTTTACAGTGTGATCACAAGACTCAAAATCGAAGTACATTGATAATTTGGTGCAGCACTTAGATTTTACAAAAAAATAGATTTTAACAAACGCTGTCCGTTTCGTTCGTTCGATTTGAATTAGCCATGTTCACCCTCTCTTACTAGGGAGCTAGCCTTGTCAGTCAGTTATCTTTAATTAGCCATGTTCACCCTCTCTGACTAGGGAGCTAGCCTTGTCAGTCAGTTATCTTTATTAAGATTGCATACATTGTGTATAAACTGTAACAGATTATAGGAGTATACGTGTCTTAGTAATATATTTTGAGTGGTCTTCTAAAACAGTTCTCCCCTTCATTCCAAGACAGCTATTATTTTAAATGAAAAAAAAAAAAATAATCAAGAAATAATTTAAACAAGAATATCCTTTGCAGTCGTAGTGTATAATAATTATTTAATTATGATGTAATTATTAAAAGAAAGAGTCGCATTTCTCTTGTTTATCAGCCTCATCTAGTGGTAAAAACGTAGTTGCAGAACCAACCCCGGCTTTTTATGATTTCATTAGGCAGTTTTATGTTGACTCTTAACGGTCAGCTCTCGATACCACTGTCAAAAACCAACATTAGGCCCTCTGCTGCCAAAGTGCCTACAGCTGGGATCGAACCTGGGAATTACGAAGCGCGTTCGCAACGCCTAAGCCACTAATTCGCCGGCAGCTATCGGCACGATGATTGTGTGTATGTTGTCATTTCCGGTGTTAACAGTGTACACAGTTACTAGTTGTCGCTACAAGGTTGTGTAGAAAACTATGTCGAGTGGGACTAGCCTCTACCGTGCACTACAAGGTTTTAACAAAAGCTTTCTCTCGTCACCCCATGAGAGTACAGCAGCGCTAAAAGCAAACCTGTCAACACTCTGTTCTAGGTTTAGAAAGGTAAGCGGCTGCAGAGATAATTGATAATTTTTTTTAATGTAATGTAGTGTTTCAAGTGACTTAATTTCAAGTCAACCCGCGAACTTCGGTTGACTATTGACTCAAATCAAAGAAAACAGGCCCTCAGAAGCAGAAGCGACATTTGGCTGATAGTTTATGATATATTAATTATTTAGCTAGCTAATAACTAACATTTTAATTTAATAGCTTGAAGGCAGTCGTAGCAATGAATAGTCCCGAAGACTGTCTAAAAAATTATCTGAGCAATATTTTGATCGCTACCGCTACCTAAGAGTTGAGTAAAGAACCGACATCACAGCACATTCTCATTAATCGTCCCGTTCTCATCTTCAGTGAGTGCCGCAAACCGGGACACTTCGACTTTAAAAGACTTCTATTATAGAACCAGCCCCAAAAAATTTAACAAGGTTGTGTTTACATAAATAATCCATTATGACCCTTGCACACACAAAAGCGGGGGGGGGGGGGGGGGGGGGAACTGTCTGACTTCTTACAAACAGTTTTCTGAATCTGATGAATGTTTTTTAAAGTTAAGAGTAATCTTTGACTGAGGCAGACAAGCTATCAGATATCTAACTTTTGCTTGATGCTGGCATAATAGTTAATATTTCTTGTTGACAGTGGTCTGAGTCGCCGGCTTCCCCCCCCCCCCCCCTCCCCTCCCCGGCGTTAAACAGTGATATGCAGTACAAGTACTTTTTTAAGCATCATATTTTCGCCACTACTGTAGACACTTTGTGGTGAGTGCCGGCAGTTTTATTCTAGAGAAAAAAGCTGAGTTTAATACCCTTCTGACTCACTTTCACAGAAAAAAATATTTATAGAACTGGAGGGGGGGGGGGGGGGGGTTTAAGGCGAGGTTGTGTTGCGTGGGAGGATTTTGACATAAATTGTCTGCATAATTTTTTTCAATATAAACACTCCAGACCATGAAACGATCTTAGTGTGGACTTCATAGCCTGAAAGCCAACCCCTAACCATTGTTCAGTTTGTCGTAGTTGTAACATGTAATAACATATTTATTATCCTGCCTCGTTATTTTCAAAAACAAATTGTTTTTCTTTCTGTTTGCAGGCAAAAGATTTACTTAAAAGTCTGAGTATTAAATTTGAATCAGTTGATCTTGACACAATTGGTAAGTTGTTTTCTCATTTTATTAATTTGTATTTGCTGATCTCATTCTTCTTTTCTGTTATCTGTTACCATCTTTTACTTTGTATTTGTCTGATATCTTCATCTTATTCCTTATTCTTCTTTTGAGGGAGATGGTCATAACACCTAGTTGTTCACCTCTGTATTTAACCTTGGAGTGCAGTTGTACAAAGTTGATTTCCTCTGGGCAGATTTTTCCCAAGGTTATTTAAAAAGGAAATTTTTTTTTACACCAATAGTGCATCCAATTTATGAGGCTAGACTGTTATTATAAAGTAGTTTAACACGTAGTGGGTGATGTGGTTAACAGCCCTTCCAGAACATTGCCTAGTACCCCAACTAGAGTTGGAGCCGAGACCAGTTTGAAGGAAAAATCAGACTGCACATTTAAACCCAATACCTATGGGCTGGGAGGCGGTGTGAAGCCATATGCTGCTGCGACTGCCCCCATGGTGATGACCTCTTACTTTGGACATTCGATGAAAAGGCCAATTACTCAGTCTCTTTGTCCATATGGTAAACATTTCCTGTGAATGTTTAGTGTTGAATTAACAATCAACATCACAGCACTCGGGGACATTTCCATAAGCGCTCTATCCCAATCTTCAGCAGTAAACCCAGAGTTCCGATTCTGATGGAACCAGTTAAGTCTATATTATCTGTGCCACCTTTCATTGAATGTTGGCCACATCCCCTGGTAACTCCTTGCAGCACCATTCTCCTTAGACAGATGATCCGTTTGCTCACTGCCAGAAGGCTCTAACATCTAGCTTGTCATGCATGTTTACCACCAAGTGGTGCAGAACAAGCCAGTCTGTCTACCTGTTTATTTCCCCCTAATACCGGCTCACCTAAAGAAAATATCTAAAGGATGCCAAACATCTAGGACAGTTTCAGTAAAGCTCGCCATTCTACACAGAGCATACCTTTTTAATTTTTCCCAACATGTCCTGTCATATAATTATAAACCAACGATGTTTGCCACACAGACCATTTCTCACCTGAAAGCCAGACTCTAAGCCTGAAGTAGACATTGAAATTTTCACATCTTTCCTCTTCACTGTATGATTTGGTAGCAGACATTGCCATAGGTTATTTCCTCTTTCACGCACGCACACACACACACACTTCCACCCACTCATTTCCTTTTTCTGATTGAATCAAATAAAAAAAAATAAACATTATTTTTCATGATTTCAATCTAGAAGACTTTCCCTTCTTTCCACTTTCTTTCATCTTTATTGTAGCGTCCACTTGAACAGCCAGTGTTTAACAAAATATGTTCATCCTTATTGTAGCATAAAACTTGAACTGCCAGTTTTGAAGAAACAAAAAATATATATATGTGTTTTAGCTATTTCTTCACATGTCAAGAATATTTTTGATTAGTCACTGATAGTGTGCTCTTCTTTCCTCCTTGGTGGTGCATTTACCTGCGACACTGAAGTGTCTTTGTTGCTGTTAATATTTTCAGCATCAGAAATTAAGCCATAAGTATTGATCAGCACTCATCAAAGTATAAGGAAAAAGTAGATATTTAAAACGTACTTGGCCAGACTGATTTTGTCAAATTAAAATAAATTAATGTGAATAAGCTTTGAGAGCAAAATGCTGTCTGTAAGTAGATCTAGCTTAGTTTGTAATCAGTATACCGAGGCAGTTTTTTTAATGTGTTCAGAAGTCCTGTCTCAGCTCTATTCTTTTGTTACAGCAACTTCCCATTGATCTGGTCACTTGTGAGTCTTCCTTTTTATCCTTGTATTTTGTTGACAAGCGTGCCTCTTCACATTTTTCTCATGTTATGTTAATTTTTCAAGAATTTTGAACTTTGGAAATGCAATTTTAAATTTTATTTTATTGAACTGCTTGTAATAGTTTTCTAGCACTGCTTGTGTTTTTATGAAGATGAACTTTCTACTTAATTTCTTTTTGTTTGAACGACTAGTTTTTGAGATTTAATAGTGTACAATTTTTTTTTTCTTTCTTAGATGTAACAGTATACAGATAGTTTTTGAGATGTAAAAGTACCTCCCTTGTGCTTAGAACTAGGAGAAAAACACAACAACAGCTAGGATAGGGACAGTTATAACAGCAGAAAGGAGAGTGAATATTTGTTATAGTAGTTATGTCAGAAACAGTTGAAATAACATGTAAATTTAAAAGATTTTAAGTAGGCGGTAGTCATTTAAAGTAAGCAGAGGGAGAAGCGGCTGGCCGAACGGTTAGCCCTACCAGACCTGTGGCCCTAACCTAACTGCCCCCTATGCCTGAGCTCCGGGGCATTAACAAGAAAAATAAAAACCGTGATATAAAAAAATATTAGTTGCAAACAAGTGGTTAGAATAAGATAAAACTTGAAGTTGTAGAAAATAGGTTTTACCTTTCATTTAGCACTAATCTTCCACCTTTAGGTGCCAATCCACCCAGCAGGATCAGCCTTGTTTCATAAAGTGAGCACCAGATGTTGCTGTTTGGGGGACACGCCCCCTTCTCTTACTATTAGTTTAGTTATAAATCTTTAATTTTCAAGATTCTCATTACTAGAGCTCTCACAGACTGTATCACTTCAACTGAGAACATATTCTTCATGAAAGAATACGCCAGAATATGAAAGAATATATAAAAGAATGCAAAGAAAGACCCCTCAGAGTCTGAATCAACCAAAGTATAAATCACCAGTTGGACTGAAAAACCTAGACCTACTTCATTTTCCTGTCAAAGTGCTTGGTTCAGAGGCCGCTCGTTTCATTGTGAATTGTCAGAATTGTTTTTATATTAAACGCACAAAATAAATCCAGACACACGTGGGCAGTCATTCACAATAACTGACCACGCGGTTTTATCATGTGGTACGCAGAGTACCGAAAGTTAGGTACAGCCTAAGTACCTTTAGGTACCAGCAGATTGGAAAATTACCTGAAAAGCGGTACGGCAGTCTGGTAGAGTTAAGAACAATGGGTTATCATGCAGGAGACCCAGATTCACATATTCGGTAAGTTTTTCTTCCTGTCAGAGGTAAAAATAAAACCCTAACCTGTACAGTATGTGGCCATGCAAACCTAAATCTTCAGGCTTAAAGATCACACCTGACTACACTGCAGAAGTGCTAAATACAGGCAGAAATTGGCAGTTGAGGAGAATAATTTAAAGTAACAGTTTGGATAGGAACATTTAAAGCAGCAGCTATAAGAGAAACTTGATCACTAGCAGCTGGGGAGAAATAGTTAAAGTAGCACGTAAATCTGAAACATTTGTGCAGGACAGAGAATTAAAAGTAACAGATGGAGCTGAAACATTTAAACTAATTTAGATGCAGATGTAACAAGATACATCACATAATTGATAGCATGTATTGTAGAAGAAGAACCCAGTTGTGATATCCTTACAGCATTTACACTGTGGCTTCATATTGACAACATTAAGGTGAACACCCTCTTCAAATGTCTTCTTTAAAGACCAGAAGAGACATCCTGCTCAACTCTGGTCAGTCTGTCTTAACTTGCTTTGGACAATGAGATAAACTGCCTTACCTGTCAGCTTAAGCAGTTTGAGGACTAAGTGTATCTATTTTAAAACTCCTTAGAATTATGCCTTAAAATCTTTTAGTGTATAAACTGGTTTTTCTTTCCGGTTTTAAAAGGTGATAAATTATAGTGTCATCCAATTGTCAATTTAAACAATGCAGTTTTTTTGTCCTAATTCTTAACAAACTCTGGAAGAAAATTCTGCCTGTTTGTCCACTTTCGGGAATGTGGTCTTGCTTGGGCTGTGTGGTCACATCAGTTATACTGATCTGCCTTATGTGTATGGTTCCCGGTCAGGCAGATGCACTCTGACTTCAAAGGAAGATTTTTAGCATATCTAATGAAAAACAAGTAATTTGTGCTTACAGGACACTTGTAAGCTGTCTGATTTAAAACATATTTATTGTAAAGTGTTAAAACATTTGGGTTTTCAGTTTGTCAACTAAATTGATCTGATGTAAAACTTGGAAACATTGTGCTTCCTGTCTGTTACAGCAGTTTAGAAATTAAGGGACCCTTTTGTTTAGGCCTGCAGGCAGTATTGGACAAATACTGCTAGACTTATATTTTATAGACTAGTCAGCACTTGGTGGGTGATGTGGCAGAATGTACAAATAGAGTTTTTTTTTTTTTTAAACCAGGCAGAACCAGTTTCAGAAGTTTTAACACCACTCAAATATTTAATACACCACAGATTTAACATTAAGAACATCAAATGTAAGTTTTAAAAAAAATGTAAACGTTTATTATGCTGTTGAAAACTGATAAAACTACTGACATATAAGTTTTATTAACTTGGTAAGCTAAGTAAGCATATCTCTTAGTTAAAACTAATTTAACCTTTGCCTTAGGAATGCTGGGGGGGGGGGGGGATATGTGTTCATGACACCAATGAACCTATTCCTCTGCATACCATTATCTTTCCCCCCCCTCCCTCCCAATACTCTACAGTTCTGCTGGCAGGACAACAGAGGTTTGGTGCAGTGTATCGGCTGATGGCTATGGCGAGGCCTGTCTCTTCCACAGTATGAATCTCATGACTGTCTGAATGCTGCAAGAATGGTCTACCCCAGTAGGTTTTGCCATAACAGATAATCATCTGTTTGAGCAGGTTACTGGAGCAAACAATCAGTCCAATATTTGTTTCAACATTAAATCAACACAACACATCCTTTGTCTATTTTCAGAGAAAGGGCCCCAGTATCAGACAGTTTTGCAGGAGCTCACAGGACAGAAGACAGTTCCTAACATATTTATACGGGGCATTCATTTAGGTGAGTCCTTTGTAAGATCAGCTTGATGTCTGCTGTATTCATGACTATACCTCTGATGTCTGCTGCTAATGGATGTCTCTGATTTGTTTTCCTTCAGCAGTAAGTCTCGGTTTCTTAGATCCAGAGAAGTCTCTGATTTCTTTCTTTCAGTAATAAGTCCCAATGTCTTAGATCCAGAAAAGTCTCTGATTTATTTCCTTCAGTAATAAGCCCAAGAAGTATGCGTCTTATGAGATGCAATAAATTGTGCAGCCTGTTTGCATCTTACTTGTCTGCTACTGCCCAAAATGGTTTGTGTTGTAAACTGCAAATTCTGAAAATGGCAAGTGGGCTGTTGCTACAAAACTGATAGTGCCTTATGCAATGAAATGTGTGTGCAACTACCAATTTGTTATAAATACTTGATGATGAACTGCCTTTCTAGCGCAGGACTGTCTGTGGTGGCACCTGTTATGGCTGCCTTATGCATTTGATGCATGCTTGTGCTATTGGTCTTGTTGAGACTACAGTCTTGAGTCAGTTATTTCACAAGGAACAGTGATGGGTATTCTGTGTGGTTGTTTTTGTTCACACAAAAAGGAAGCAAACTTTGTAGTCACTGTAAATATCTTTATTGCTTATTTAACCAGAAGATGTGTATTGTCAGCTCTCAAATGCCTTAGGTGCATGGAATGATTGATTGAATTAGTGTCAGCTGAAAATCATAGATTTTTTCCACATAGGGGTTCTGGGACCCAATTTGGGAAAGAAAAATGAAGAGGTTCGCGCCCCCCTAACAAACACGTCATGAAAGCTACTAATTACGTTTTTGCTGAAATAGGATATGTTGGACTGAAAGGTGTAGATATTGCAGCTTAGTTTGGGCTATAAGATGATAAGAAGAAGAAATGAAAACTACAACACAGCTCACCAGCCACCCTTTTAAGGGTGGACGCACAAGCGGGAGGTTGATGTGGTTATAGTTTATTCTTTCACTGTGTTTTAACCTGTGCATTTATTTCAGTATCATGGATAAAGTCCAGTCCAATACCTTGCCTTTCTCATTTGTCAATAATAGATAGATATATTAAGTTATATTATCAGCTGTGAAGTGATTGATGGTATCAAGTGGATGTGATGTTGAATGATTAGTTTCATCTCTGAAATGATTGTTGGTATCAAGTGGATGTGATGTTGAATGTTCAATTTCATCTCTGAAATAATTGATGGTATCAAGTGGATGTGATGTTGAATGATTAGTTTCATCTCTGAAATGATTGTTGGTATCAAGTGGATGTGATGTTGAATGTTCAGTTTCATCTCTGAAATAATTGATGGTATCAAGTGGATGTGATGTTGAATGTTCAGTTTCATCTCTGAAATAATTGATGGTATCAAATGGATGTGACATTAAATCATTGGTATCAACTGTGAAATGATTGATGGTATCAAGTGGATGTGATGTTGAATGTTTAATTTCATCTCTGAAATAATTGATGGTATCAAATGGATGTGACATTAAATTATTGGTATCAACTGTGAAATGATTGATGGTATCAAATGGATGTGACATTAAATCATTGGTATCAACTTTGAAATGATTGATGGTATCAAGTGGATGTGATGTTGAATGTTCAGTTTCATCTCTAAAATAATTGATGGTATCAAGTGGATGTGACATTAAATCATTGGTATCAACTGTGAAATGATTGATGGTATCAAGTGGGTGTGACATTAAATCATTGGTATCAACTGTGAAATGATTGATGGTATCAAGTGGGTGTGACATTAAATGATTAGAGTCATCTCTGAAATGATTGAATAGTTATTAAGAGGATGTGATAGTAAACTATTCATGTTAGCTCTAAAATCATTGTTGGTATCAAGTATATGTGATATTAAATGCAGACTATCCAAAGGGTTGAGGGATACTTGTTTACATTAGGTGGATGTAATATTAAATGTTTAGTGTTGGCTCTGAAAGGATTAACCTACTACCATTGTCTTTATCAGGTGGATGTAATATTAAATGTTTAGTGTTGGCTCTGAAAGGATTAACCTACTACCATTGTCTTTATCAGGTGGATGTAATATTAAATGTTTAGTGTTGGCCCTGAAAGGATTAACCTACTACCATTGTCTTTATCAGGTGGATGTAATATTAAATGTTTAGTGTTGGCCCTGAAAGGATTAACCTACTACCATTGTCTTTATCAGGTGGATGTAATATTAAATGTATAGTGTTGGCTCTGAAAGGATTAACCTACTACCATTGTCTTTATCAGGTGGATGTAATATTAAATGTTTAGTGTTGGCCCTGAAAGGATTAACCTACTACCATTGTCTTTATCAGGTGGATGTGATGATCTGTTGAATGCTCACTGTCAGAGCACACTCATGGACAAAGTTAAAGGGAAAGGTTCGACCTATGAGTATGACCTAGTTGTTATAGGCGGGGGATCTGGTGGACTGGCAGCTGCAAAGGTGGTAATTGTTTTTTGTGTGTTTTTCTTTTTTTTTTTATGGATTGTATTATAATAGATCTCTCTTGAGTACCTTTGTAGGCATATGTTGTATATATTTTTTAAAGCAAACCTTGGGTATATTTATAGGCATGTAAAGTAAAAAGTAAATGAAACTTTTCACACCTTAGGCACATCAGGCATATGGTAAGTAAAGTAAATGGCACTTTTCATGGCAGTGAGGTATCGGGCATATGATGCTAGGCCCATATTTTTTTTGTAGGCCAGTTGGCACTTGATGGTTGGTATGGTCCTCATCATGATGGTCGCCTTTAGTTGCCAGCACTGTACCTGGTACCCATTTTGAGCTGGGGCAGCTTGGGAGTGTGTCTTGGGTATATTTAAAGACATGTCTTGGGTATCTTTTTAGGTGTGTCTTGGGTATATTAATAGTTATGTATTTGGTGTTGAAGCCTCACATTTAGCTACTTTTGTTAAAAAGGGGGAGGGTTGCCAAAATAAGAACAGGAAAAATAAAATAAGAATTGATTGAATCAATGCAGTAAAACGTGAACATTTTTGCCTGTGGACATTTTCTAATATTAATGTAGTTTATGAAGCATAATACTGAAAACTGTACGCCCATAATTAGCCTCATGCCTCTTGTTTCTGTAAAGCACGCCCCTTCCCTGATGTCTGTCGTGTGTGTTTTCTCCTGTATATTCCTCTATATATTTCTCTGCCCTTCTTGCCTTTGCTGCCTGTCTCTTCCCTCTTTTTCATACTCTTCTTTACCCTTTGTCTCTCTCAAGTTCATATATTATGTACACTCGCTATATCGTGAAACACATTATTATTATTGTCGTTATTATTATTTTTTCCCCAACAACAGGAAGCAGCTAACTTGGGTAAAAATGTTGCCTTGTTCGACTATGTACAGCCGTCACCTTTAGGAACAACCTGGGGTAGGTGTTTGTCTGTCTGCTTGTGTTGTTGGGCTTGTGGCTAAACTTTTAATTGTTTGTCTTACGCTCTGAAGGTTGGTTGTTTGTTTAATGGACTACTCCATTTGGTCTTCTTTTCATCATTCTAATCTTCACCTCTTTTCTTTTTTTACTTTTTGGTGTGTTGATGCACATAAAGTGTTTTTCCAGATTCTTCTAACTCTGCTTTGAGCTCTATATCTCTCTCTGGTGTATTTCTTGTATGATATGGTACCCCATGGCATTTCCTCTTGGCAAAATGGGCAAAATTTTTATTTGTTGTCTTTGTATGTAGTTTTGAGTATTGGTTCTATTTCTTTGTATGTAGTTTGATATTGGTTCTCTGTATTTTCTTTGTATGTAGTTTGATATTGGTTCTCTTTATTTTCTTTGTATGTAGTTTGATATTGGTTCTATGTTTTGTCTTTGCATGTACTTGAGTATTGGTTCTATCTCTTGTCTTTGTATGTAGTTGAGTATTGGTTGTATGTCTTTGTATGTACTTTAATATTGGTTCTATGTCTTGTCTTTGCATGTAGTTGAGTATTGGTTCTCTGTCTATGTATGCAGCCTTTCTGAAATATCTTATTTCCATTGTTTGTAAGTGACCATGTCGGCTGCTAGTAGAATATTTGCTGTTTCTGTGTGCTGTTTGAGACTCTTATGTGTAAAAGGGCTGTCTCTTTACTTGGTTTGCTTTAATCTTCTTCGCGTTCACCAGCTATAAACTCCGGCAGAAAGTTCTGGTTGTTCGTACACTTCTGAACTGCAGTCCTGTTTCAGAACCTGAGTGTTGTGTGTGCATCCTTTTTACAGATCTGACTCATTTGTATGCAAACAGCTGGTTCCTTGTCTCTTAGGCAAATGCACTCTGACTTTAAAGGAAGCTCCTAATTAGTCGACTCTTACGACATGCTTTTGGGTAGGCAGTGGGTCTATTCTTGTTATTCCCTATAATAGGGCCCCGGAACCCACACGGGGAGTTTGCTTTAATGAATCAGATGCTAACTTAAAAAACTGATGCTGTTGAATGCCTTTGAACTCTACTTCTGTTTTGATGATCAGCTTCTTTCTTCCTGTTGACAGAACTTATAATTTTTTTTTCCATTGCAGATTCTGATCTTATTTTATTTAATTTCTCCACTTAATGGGTATTGTATGTGTAACTGTTCTGTCTGAGTGGTGCTTGTGATCAGATCTCAGCAACAGTTTGTCATGAGACTTGTTTCTTGGTCAGTGACAGCTTTCATTGCACACAGATGTCTCCAAAAGTGATGGGTCTCCTTCCATAGATTTCAGTTTTTTCACTTCTTGCTCCATTGAAGTGATGATGGCAAATGTTGGGGAGTGTAAGAATCTGATGTGTGACCCCTTCAGTGTGTTGAAAAAGCTGATCTTCATTTCATTAAGGCTGTTTTTGTTGATGTCTTCCCCTTGCTTTGTGTCCATTATATTTCTTCAGCGTGACAGTTGATACCAGCGCATTCTCCTTAGATGGCCAAACCATCTCATTGAATGTTATATATATATATTTTCTTGTTACTCCGGCAGCTCCTCTATAAGACATCTCACCTGTATTTTTTTTTTTTTTTTTTTTCACTTTTTAATTTTACCTCTCATGTGGTCTACATGGATCATCATTATCATGTGCCCTGACAACCGGCGTAGGCGCTCATGCGTCTCCACAGATCACGATCCATGGTTGCCTGGAACAGCTGTCTTGATGATATCCCTCCATGCCATCATTTCAGCCCATCAAGCATCACTCTCTTGGTCTGCCTCTACCCCCTTCTCCAATGTCTTTCTTCTCATTATGTGGCCAGATGGATCACACAAGGAAAATCTCGGCACGCTGCATGAACTCCGTAGCACCAGCAAGGATGGAACTATGTTTACTTAAAAAGTATCCTATGTTAACATTAGGTCTGAGAAACTGAATTTGCATGTGAATATTCATGTTTGATTAATTCACAGGTTTAGGAGGAACTTGTGTAAATGTTGGCTGCATTCCAAAAAAGTTGATGCATCGGGCATCCATTTTAGGTAAGTGATGCAATTTATAGATCAAGATTTCAGTGTGGACTCTGGGGCTCGGGGGGGGGGGGGGGGGTTCCACCGTCCTCCTAAAAGAGCATATAAAAGGTTTCTGATCAGGAGTTTGTTTAACTTAAAAATGTTGGGCCGAAAGGCACATATATCACAGCTTAGCTGTAAACCACAATATAGTGTGCTGGCCCCCTTTTTAAGGATGAAGATAGGTAAAGAATAAGTAAAATGCTAACATTCTGTGAGATCCAAACTTTAAAGAAAAACTGGTTTAAAAGCAGCGTCATGTTTCAGAAACTGAAATATTTGAACAATGTTAACTACTAGAAGTAACATCAGTAGAGACATGGTTGACGAGGATGAGGGTGGATGCTGGATGTTTTAAACACACTGGTCTTATAGATATTTTATACAGTAGAAGTTGTCAGACAGCTAGTGACATTCTACAACGAGTCCTGTTCATGATGATGGTAGCGGTTTATTCAGAAAAGCAGAGTACAGAAATAATATACTCATTATCAGCTATGTGAATAATGTTATTTGAAACATCAAAGATTATTTAAGGGGATTTTACATTCTTACCCATTTTCCCTTATGGTTGTGTTATATATATACACAATTATGTCATGTCTGTGGCTTAGGCTTCGTAATGCCGGGAGCTTGCTTCGTTCCAAGCTGCAGACATGTTTTTTGTGTGCGTTGGTTTCGACAGTGGTACCGAGAGCTGACCGTTCAGAAACAGCAGCATACTGCTGCACGTAAATTTTGTCTAGAAAAACTACCACAGCCAGAAAATGCTAGTGTTGGTTCTGCAACGTCCTGTAAAGGATACCCAACTATGTTTTGTACACCATGCACAATCAACAGACGAAAACAACAAGAGAAGCTTATTGATACCTTTTTAATAGTATTATTGCATGGGATCTTTGCTAAATTTTCATTGTATAGTCCAGGGGCAAAGGCTCACAGATGTGTACAAATATTTTTTGATTAGTGAGAACAGAGGGACACACATTGTGTATACAAAAGAGTTGAATGTGAGTAGGCCAGGCGGTATAGACCAAGAAGACAACGGAGAGATTGTAAGCAGGCACATCTACAAACACTTGGTAACCAACTGGAAAGAGAAGGCCAGTCAGAGAGATGAATGGATGGGGGTAAGATATCTGCAGCAATGAACCCTAAGGGCTCAGAATGCTGAAAAATAAAAATAGTTAGGGCGTTTCCTGAATATTAACTAAACTTGCTGACAGGATATATTTTGTTCAGCAATTGTGCGGGTATGTTTGGTTTGATTGGATAGTCTGTGCTGGTGTTATTCTTTAAAATATACGAGCATATTGACATGGTTTTTTTTTTTAGGGGAAGAGCTGCATGACGCAAGAGCATTTGGGTGGAATGTTCCAGAAAAAGGTAGGTGAGATGTGTCAGTCCAGAACAGTGTTTCTACTGCACAAATGTTTAAAAAAAATGATTATTTTCTCTAGTAGATTTCTTTACTTAGCTCATCTCTGCGAAACAAGCTTTTATATGGGTAGAAATTTGAACGCTTGCTACCTACTTTCTCTGACACACTTGTTAGTTTCACTCAGATCTCTACACTCTGCATGTGGGTTGTGGGGCCCCATTGTGGGGGAAGCAATAATAGACAGGCGTGCTGCCTCTTCAACAAGCATGTCCTAAGAGTCGACTAATTGGGGGCTTCCTTCGAGGTTGGAATGCATCTGTCTGAGAGGCAAGGAGCCAGCAGTCTGCATACAAATAGGCGAGATTGTAAAATGGATATGTATGCAGCACTCATGTTCTGGAACTGGACTAAAGTCCAGAGATTAATCATTCCGGCGTAGTTTACAGCCAGTGAACACGAAGAAGACAAAATATATATGATTGGTGACATTGTTGATCTGAGTATAACAAATTGTTTTTCGTTTTAGTTTATTCATTCTTCTTCTTCTGCCTTTCTAACCCCCAACGGAGCATAGGACCTCAACCAACTCACGCTAAGTCGTTATATCCTTTGCTATCACATACCCCATGCCCTCCCCATCTTTCTAACTTCATTCTCCAGCTTTCTTCTCCATGTGTTTTTTGCCCTTCCTTTATTCCTATGCCCCTGTGGGTTCCAGTGCAAAGACATTCTTTCCCTTACTACTTTCATTGTTCTCCCTATATCATAGAGAGTTCTAACATTCCAGGTGCCAATTCTGGAGGTTTTCCTAGCTGAGAGGAGGTATGTTGACGATGATCTGGACTCCTTTCGGCTTTCTCCACACCGTGTCATACTTCTTCTACTTTAAGATAGAGCCTCCCCTCATCTTGGTTGGCTGGGTTTTACTTGCTTCTCTTTTTGACTCGTCCATGGTTGGTTGGTTTTTGTGGCTATTGTTTTTACAGGGTGAGGTAGCCGACTTCAAGCCCAACCCTACCCGAACTTGCTACATCCGACCTTTTAATGACAGACGCAGAAAAAAGAAGAAGCTTTTGAGCACATTTATTAGGATTTGTCAGCTGTCATTGACAGGCGAAATGTTGTTATCGATCCAGCAGCGCATGAGCTTTCGGCCTTTGGCCAAATGCCATGTAGTGGAATTTACATGTTTTCACAAGCTGTTCTTCTCCTCCGTACAAGGTGTTCCACTTGTCTGGTCTCGGAGGGAGTAGCATTCTTCTACGACAGGTGAAAAGATATATATACCATGGTGCTAATATCTTCTTTTTTTTTCTTGCAGTGGAGCATAGCTGGCAACAAATGAAAGATGCAATTCAGGTAATGTAATGTTTGAAATAAAAACATTATTTGATTTCAGCTTCTGTTGTGTGTGTTTTTTTTTTTTTTATCTTTTAAAAACCAACCTTTTTTTTTTAAATAGTTGTTACTTCTGTTTAAGTGTAATTTGGCCAGGTGTTTACCAAAGATCAAGATTGAAGCTGTTATCTGGTGTAAGAGTCTTGTCACTTAAGCCATACAGCAAAGGACATTGGAGGCTTGTTAATCTGTTTCGGTGAGCAGTTGGGTGCAATATTTGGACATTTGAATTAAGATATCTTTGAGGAGAATATTATATTATGTGAAGGATAAGGTTTTTAGTCTTGAGGTATATTTACCTAGATTGAGGACAGCTATATGTGAATACAGAACAGCTGCTATCCTGTTCACCAGCCAGAGACATATGTTCTCTCCATAAGCTCTGACCTAAGAATATTTCTGATAATTTCCTTTCCAGAGAATTGGTTCCAGCGGCTTGATCGACCTCAGAATGAAATGATGCATGAAAGGCGTATAGTACAGCATTTCAAATGGGCTTGCTTGTTGAATTCTCAGCCCATAGAAAGAAAAGTTGGTTTGTTCAGATCTGCATTAATATGGGGGGGGCTAGGACTTCTAGGCAGTTGAATCTGGTCCACTATCTCCTCTTGACAAGCATATTTATTTACCAGTATATAAAAATACAAAGAGTACTGTGCAGGTAACCAAATAATAATAATAAACTAACACAGGACGGATGTCTTCAGACGCTGCACACTGCTGGATTTACTGAGGAGGGTATTCAAGCACTTGGGGACTGAATGGTTCGATGTGCAATGGGGATAAATTTGTTTGACTAAATAACTATATGATAATACATTGGCATATTGAATCTCTGATAACAACTGTTATTTAAATTTGTACTACAGGACCACATTGGCTCATTAAACTGGGGTTACCGGGTACAGCTGCGGGATAAAAAGGTCAACTACATCAATGCCTATGCAGAGTTTGTTGACCCTCACACTATAAAGGTATAGATCCCATATGGAATTATTTTCATTATATTTTGCAGTGAGTAAGCATTTATTTCTCTATTGAATCCTAACTTTTCTGTTTCTTTTTCTATCGTCTTATCCTGCAGTCTTCATCTTCTACATTCGCTCTAAAAATGGGTGGTCAGCACATTGTCATGTGGTTTACAGCTTGGCTGGGAAATCTGTGCCTCTCGACCCCCACATCTGATTTAAGCAGAACCCTTATTTTTTCCCCCTATAACTTGATTGTTAGAGTTTAGTGGTTTAGTTTGCACCCCCTGCAAACACAGACCCGCTCAGAAACACTTATAATGGTTCCCTGGACCTCACCCAAGGATCTTATTCTTTAATAAAGATATTCATTAATTTTGTCCAGAACTGCAGCAGATTTATGTTCTTTGCTGGCATCAGCTTCAATAATTACATAATGAGTCATGGTAGATTTTTGTACTTTAAATTTTTTTTTTTTAATTTATATTTTTTTACCAGTGCTTCAAAAATTACATTATAACTCATGATAGATTTATATACCTTCCTGTTCTTTGACGCCATCAGTGTCAAAGATTATGTTTTAACTCATAGATTTATCAACTTTCCTATTTTTATCCGTCATCAGCTTTAAAAATTAGGTTTTGACTCATGGTAGATTTATATACTTTCCTTTTTTTTTTTTCACCACCACCTTCAAAAACGTTATGGCTTGTGGTCAATTTATGTAATGTCCTGCTGTTGTTGTTTTTTTCTCTTAGAAAATTATTAGTAATGGCACTTTTTTTTTTAACTTTAAAAGTTTATATTTACTGTTTGATGAGTTTTTCATCTTTGTTATCATTCTGCAGGCAGTAAAGAAAAATAAATCAGAACAGATAATAACAGCAGCACATGTGATTCTGGCCACAGGTGAAAGGCCTAGATATTTAGAAATACCTGGTGCCCGTGAATATTGTATTACCAGGTGAGATTTCAGTCCCTATTTGTGAATTAGATTTGTTTTTAAACCCAGGCTTCTATCTTTTTCCTTCTGTCTTTGTCATTCTATCTTTTCCTGTATTTTTTTCTTTCAAAAAATCTTGCGTCTGGGGGCTAATCCGGACAGAAGCAATATTAATACCATGTGCAGCACTTACCACAAAGACCATGACTCAATATCCCTGTCTAGGCTAATGGATATAGGACCTGCCTAGAGCTGCAAGAAGTGAACATTTCACTAAGGCGACCAGATGTCTGATTTATCAACATAGAACAGATATCATCAGTCATGTCTGATTTATCAACATAGAACAGATATCATCAGTCATGTCTGATTTATCAACATAGAACAAATATCATCAGTCATTTTGCACTTGTGGAGCTTTTTGATGAGGAGATCGAAGCACTTTTTAATATGTCTGGAGTGCTGTGATGATAATCCTCGCTTATCACAATTAAGGGCTGCCATCCCCCCCCCCCCCCCCCTCCCCCCACAAGTATGAGGGTTATTTTGGCGTTGGGGGGAATGGTCCTACATTCAGCTCTCTATATATTTCATACAGCCATGTGATCATCCAGCTTTATTCACATGAGACACTGTATACCTTATTTTTTTATAAAAACTTCTCAGTTTGGTTTATAGAGCCACATTAGGGGGACCCTTCCCTCACCCCTTGCAAGCATGTCATAAGAGATAACTAATTAGGAGTCTTTCTTTTGAAGCCAGAGTGCATCTGCCTGAGAGCCAAGGAACCAGCAATCTGCCTACAAATAGCTAGATCTGTAAATTAAATGCACACTCAAAACTCTTAAGTTCTGGAACATATGACAAGCTGGATTTTGTGAGGGCCTTTTGGGAGTGAGTGAACAGTGCCAAGGAACAGATAGATCATTACGGTCTGAGGAGAATGGCACTGCAAGGAGTTAAAGGGGATCTGGCTGAAGCTGGACAATCGGGGGAGGGGCAAAACAGATATACAGACTGTTACTGGTACCATCGGAATTTTAGCTCTTGGCTTGCTGTTGAAGATGGGGATGGAGTGCTTATCAGAGTGTCCCGAGTGCTGTGATGTCGATTCTTAATTCAACATTCAAATTCTGGAACAAGACCAAAGCACAGAAGTTTACAAGTAACTTGAATTTTCTAGTTTTGGTCTCATGGACCTGAAGAAGAATACATTGTTCTTTCTCACTAATCCTGCTGTTACTTTTGTTCATTTTCATTATATACCTAACTTTTTTTTACTACACTGATTCTCACCAGTGATGACCTGTTTTCATTGCCCTACTGTCCCGGGAAGACATTGTGTGTAGGAGCATCATATGTCTCTTTGGAGTGTGCTGGTTTTCTGGCTGGTCTGGGTTTAGACACAACAGTGATGGTCAGGTCTATTCTTCTGAGGGGCTTCGACCAGCAGTGTGCTGAATCTATTGGCAAGTACATGGGGGACCATGGCGTGAAGTTCATTCGTGGAGCCGTACCTACAAAGGTAAGCACTATATTGAAAGATATGTCTCCAGAATTCCATTATTGTATTAACACACAAGCTTAACATTAACAAGAATTTGGTGGCAGTTTCTATGATGAATGAAATTTTAAATCTCACAGGAACTTTGAGTCAGCCACGTCCACATTTCCTGTCTGAAATGAACTCTTTTGTTGTGGCTGTTAGCTTTAGCTTTGTTACTTCTGCCAGATTGTTGTTCAGTGCAGTTTGTTAGTTGCCAGATTGATATTAGGTTTATCTTATTAACTGGCAGACTGTTATTAAGTGCAGTTAATTAACTGCCAGATTGTTTAGCGGTAGAATTTAAAGATTTTAAACCTCTGAGTGGCTCATAGTAGCTGTTTCACAATACATGTTATACAAATTGTGACCTATTCAGTCACAATCAAAGAAACTAGACATTTGCCTTGTTTCAAGGAGCTTTCTATCTTCATCAGGATATTTTTCTGTAACTGCTTTTTTGTGTTGATACTTCTTGTGACAAAATTTTACCATTATTGTTTCTCAATTAACACCGGCATGCTTTCAGTTGACTAAGCAGGATCTGCTGGAGGAAAAGAGAATGAATAATCCCAATGTTTTGAATGAGGCTCTAATGTCAGACAACTTACCACGAACATCAGCAAGAGGCCGCCTTTATTGTCTGGTCACATTGCAAGAACAGAAAAACTGGATTAAATCTTGACAGCTGGAAAGACTTATGGGAAGAGAAAGACACCAGGAGAAGATTCTTGACAGACTTTTATCATGGTAGAGTGTTAGCACAAAAGTAAATACACATTGTTGATCGCAAGATATTAGTCTGCAAGGCAGAGGGTGCTGATGATTGTTTCAGTATTTTTTTAGTTGCATGACTGGGTGCCCGGATAAGCATATGTTCATCCAAATGTGAACTTTGATCTTTTTCATTTTTGCCGGCTTGAGAAAGTTAAATGTGTTAAACAGTGTTTTTTTTTTTTTAATGGAAATTAATGAGTTAAACAGTGTTTTTTTGATGGAAATTAATGAGTTAAACAGTGCTGACCCGGTGAGAATTCAGTTTGTCTCGATCTGGTCGAAATTAATGAGATAAACAGTATTGATCTGGCGGAAAATTATTGAGTTACACAAAAGTATTGATCTTGTGGAAATTGAGTTCGTTACGAGTATTGATCTGGTAGAAATTAGTGAGTTAAACAAAGTATTGATCTTGTAGACGTTGATGAGTTAAACATTCATCTGATAAAAAAGATAAGTTTAACACTATTGATCTGCTAGAGATTAATGAGTTAAAGATTCTTGATCTTGTAAAGATTAATGAGTTAAACATTATTGATCTGTTGGAAAGGGGAGTTGTATGTTTTTTCAGGTTGAAGTCTTTAAGCGCAGCAGGAAGTGGTTCTGTAAATCAAAGCCTTCAGGGCTGACTATTGTGAGGTTTTTTTAAACCTGTATTTAATGTTGTTTTCAACTTATTATTTTTTTTTTTTAAATCTAAAAAAGAGCCAAGGGATTTTGTACAGGGAAAAATAAAAATAACTTGGTATTTTAAGGAAAATTAAGATTTGTTTTTACGGGCAACTCAGTGGCCGTACACTGTTACCTATCCAACTGTGGGTGCCAGGATAATAGCCACATAAAACTGGGTCAGGGTTGCACATCTCTGCCAGGTATATGTGGGGGGGGGGGGGGGGGGGGGATCTAAGAGTTTGAGAGCAAACATCCCAGTTTTGGATCTACAGTGGATTAAGCGCATGATTAGGGATCGCTGGTGAAGAAGTGTTTTTGTTTAAATCAGTCAAATGACAGAATACAATTTTTGTCTGTTTAACTAAAAAAAAATTATGTGGGGGTTTGCTCCTTAAAATGTATTATATTTATTAATTTTGAAGGATTGGATTCCTTTTGTTTATACGCAGTAGGAATCTAACCCCTTCATTTGTTATTTCTGTTTGACTTTTCTGCATTCATTTGATTGCGACTTGATGTTCTGGTTTGTCTTCCACACTGCGCATTCACATGTAAAAGAATTGTGTTGATTTTCTAGAATTTATTGTGACATTATGTATCTCACTATACAGACATCAAGTATTGGTTTGTTACACGGCCAGCTCCAGATTTATAAGGCCGTACAGCTCGAACGGGAAATCCCGTTCTTGTGCAAGAATTGAGTCCCTCTGTGTCCACAGTTTTTATCAAAGAGATGTATACACAAATTAAACTAGTTTCAATAATTTTCGACATATTTTTTAGAACTATACGTCATTTTAAGGTAAATAAGTGTGCCAATTAAATATAACAATAAAGGCTCTTACAGACAAACAAAAATGCTTTTGCTACAGTCAACATGAACATAAACATCAATAACGTTTAGATGTAAACTAAAAGTTGTTCCAGCAAAAGTAAAGAAATATCAGTGCTAACTCTTTGATTCTGAGAGGGTATTGCTGCATCAGAGGGGGGGGGGGTTGACATTTGTGCTTTTTGGTAACAAATATGCAAGGGAAGTGGATGAACTACCAGAAGTTTCCGCAAGAGTTTACAGCCAGTGTTCGCGAAGCAAAGCAAAAGCCAGTTTACAAAAATTAACAGACCGTACAAATGCAATGTTTAATTAACACCGCAAAAACAAAAATTCTAGACTTTACCAACAGTTCAGTTGATATCACGCTGAACAACAACAGCCTTGAAAAAGTCAACAGTTTCATTTATCTGGGGAGCAAGATGTCATCTGCAGGAGATACCGCACCAGAAATACCATTTAGAATAGCACTGGCATCTAGTGCCTTCAATAAACTGTCTAACATCTGGAAATCAAAGACACTTAGCAAACACACAAAACTCAAGATCTTCAATTCTTGTGTGATTCCAGTACTAACCTATGGATGCGAGAGCTGGAAATCAACGAAAACTCTAGACACAAAATTAGACAGTTTTGAAAATAAATGCCTTAGAAGAATACTAAATTTCAAATGGTCAGATTTCCGAACAAATACACAAATAAGGCAAGAATCCAGGCAAGAGTATGTGTCTAATTTTATACGAAAACGGCGCTGGAACTATGTCGGCCACGCCCTTAGAATGGATAAATCAAGACTTCCTTACCAAGCCCTCATTTGGACACCACAGAGGAAAAGATCTCGTGGAAGACCAAGGGAAACTCTACGTAGAACTATCACAGGGAAGGCTCGCTCATGGGCCACTCAAACATCCAAGACCTACAACTGATTGCAACGAACCGCCATGCATGGAGAGTCATGACCTCTGCCCTATGTGCCGCACTCGACACAAGAGGAAAGACTAACTAACAAATGCAAATATGCAAAAGAAGTCGATGAGCAACCAGAAGTTTCCGCAAGAGTTTACAGCCAGTTTTCGCGAAGCAAAGCAAAAGCCAGTTTACACAAATTAACAGACCATAGAACTGCAAATATGCAAAAGAAGTGGATAAGCAACCAGAAGTTTCCGCAAGAGTTTACAGCCAGTGTTTGCAAAGCAAAAGCCAGTTTACACAAATTAACAGACCGTAGAACTGCAAATATGCAAAAGAAGTGAATGAGCAACCAGAAGTTTCCGCAAGAGTTTACAGCCAGTGTTCGCGAAGCGAAGCAAAAGCCAGTTTACAAAAATTAACACAGACCGTGCAACTGCAAATATGCAAAAGAAGTCGATGAGCAACCAGAAGTTTCCGCAAGAGTTTACAGCCAGTGTTCACGAAGCAAAGCAAGAGAAAGTTTACAAAAATTAACAAACATATAATTATACTGTTAGTCAACAATTAGTAAAGAGGCAAAGAGTGACTTGCTGTGAGAGGTTAGTTAGTAAATTAAATATTATTTTCATCCACTGACCTAGAGCTCCGAAATATCTTGACACAATTTATCCACAGTGTGGTTGCACCATTTATGCACAGTCAATATGAAAGCAATAGTTTTCTTCGAACACAAGATAGTTAGCACCTGACAACTGTCTATATTCTCTAGATATGGCTTCTAAATTACCTGTTTGTATTATCCCTAAAAGTAAGATTTCTACATTTAAAGTAGAAAAGTAATAAACAGCCAGTTCCCAAAAATCCGAAAAACTGACTAGAAACAGTGACACTGACACACACATCACAACACGACTGTCTCCCGTGAATTACAATTAAAATTGTTGTAATCTAACAGCTTGTATGTCTACTTTACAATATCCGCTTGTTGATTTGTAATACGAATACAATCAGAACACAGAAATTTGTAAGCATATTATAATGTCACAAAATGCAACATGGAAACGCTGGCAGTAACCTATTTTCGAGTGGGACTCCTCGAAAATGTGCCATGATTCAGTTGTACGGCCTTACTGGAGCTGGCCGTGGTTTGTTAGAATTACACAATATGTGTGTTTTGTAACAGTTATATTACACAGAGTTGTTTATTGGCTATTTCATTTTTCAAAGTGTTTTGATTTTGGTTGTTGCTTTGGAAAATAGCAACGTGTCCTATTGCCTAGAATGTGTCTCCCATCACTTGAAAAGATTAAGATCAGGAGTATATCGTGGACAGTTAGATGTGTGTGGGGTAATAATCAGGCTGATAGACTGGCTGCTTTCATTGCTGTAGGTAGAGAGCGTACTTTATGATAAAGCTGCTGTTGTGAGGGCTCTCTGGGAACAAGTAAACAATGCTTCCCATGTGGAAGCAAGGGGAGATAGATCTCCCCTAACAGACATGTTGTACTTATTAGGGATGTTTCCTTCTCTGAGTGTATCTGCCTGAGAATGAGGGAGTAACTAACAGCCTGCATACAAATAGCCAGATCTGTAAAATAGATTTGCACTCAAGGTGTAGTACAAGATCAAAGTTCAGAAGTGAACGAACAACCAGAACTTTCCGAGTTTATAGCCGGTGAATGCTAAGAAGTAGAAGACAGTGCAGCAGAACAGACTATCCATACCTTGAATGACTTAATTGACTTGGGAGAGAGGGCAAAATGTCTGGTAACTTTCAGCGCACAGGTAGAAACAGGTGGTTTTTTGAAAGGTTCAACTGGTACCCGTTGTGGTAACTCTTTCTCAACTACTGATGAGATGGACACAGCACGTATGAGAATGCCTGAAGTGCAGTGATGTCAGTTTGTGATGCATTCATTCTACGGAAGACTAGGTTTTGATCTGCGTGAGTCCAGTACGTTGATGTTCGGGACATTTGAGTCCAGAAATGGGTTTATGTGTATATCAGAGTGGAGGCAGAGATTTTCCTCCAGGTCTAGTATCACAATACCATTTCCACCGGCATTATTTTAGCATTCTCCTTAACTTCGTCAGACTGAGAGAAGTTATGGAGGTTTGCAAGACAAGTTCTAGAACATTACATAAACATGAATGCATGGTGATACATGTAATGATGGCCAGATTTGGGACTCAGGTTGTGGATGGACAGATCCGATACTGAAATACTGTCTGCCCTAGAACTGTTTTCAGAGCTCTTCTCAACTTTGTCAAACACAGGCATCAACGATGTTTGCAAGACGAGTGCTGAAATGTTGCCCATATATGATGACATAATGATGCTTGGGATGTTCGCTAGACAGGGAGGGACACCGTTTGTAGATGGGCAGCACCAAAAAAGAGGTTTCCAATATACTGCTGATCTTAAGTTGATTATGTAACATTAGAATCTTTTCAGTGAACATCGCCTGCAAGTTTAAATTTGTGAAAGTAAGTGGGATGGATGGTGAAGAATTCGGGCAATTATAATAGGATGTGAGAAGTCAGTGCCTGTTTCGTTATTCATCCTGTTTTAACTGAGCTCCGGTAAATATATGCTTGTAAAGTAACGGAGCTGTGTAGTTGAAGGAAAGCATAGGTCAAAAGGCTGTAGATCGATATGATTACCAACACCCTCACACAAACTCATCTCACCGTGGAAGTCTTAAGATTAACCATATAATCCTTGTATTTACATAACCAGGATTGTCTGTCACTGCTTCCGTCAGGTTTTATGTTGTTGAAAATTTCATTTTGGTTGTGATAAGTAACTCAGAAGTAAGTGAATAACTCAAAAGGCAGAGTCTTCATCAGTCATGTGCCTAGTCATGTGCAGATTGCATGCACAATACATCTGTGGAAGCATGCATAGTTGTTGTTGGCCAAGTGCTTATTATCACATAATAATTATTATTGATTACAAAGTGTTTATTGTCGACTGATTGTTAACTGTGATGATAACATCCTTCTGTTTTCATGTCTTTGTCAGATTGAGCAGTTACAGAAAGGCGAGCCTGGTCGTTATAGAGTGACAGCCAAAACTGACGAAGGAAAGGAAATTGTTGAAGAGTATAACACAGTAAGTTCTCTAGTCTTACCCTTATTGTTTTTTTTTTTTAATGGATATATTTTGTGTTGATATTTACTCACAACTTTTGAATTATTTTTTGGTTAATAATGACTAAAATGGCATGTTCATGTAAATCGGAACATTTGGATTTGGCACTGGAGTAAATTGACAAAATTATATGTTGCCATCCATGTTTTTCTTCCCAGGCACCGCTAAGGGTAGGGTCGGCTACCTGATAAATAGAGTGGAGGTAAAAACAGTACAAAAAGCCAGCCTTCCGTAAATAAGTCTAAAGAGAAAACAATGTAATAATCATTAAGTCAAGATTGGTGGAATCTGATTCTGTAGAAAAATTGCGAAACTTTTGAGAAAGCCAAAAGGCATCCATCCAGTTTACCAAACTCACCTTGGAAAAAACGTTTATGGAGTGGGTTGATTGTAATGGTTCTAGGAAGTGAAGGATGTTGGCTTGACATTACCCACATCATCGGTTGATTGCCGACAAGTCCATAATCATCTTCAGCAGTAATGTTTGCCCAATCTGCCTTACCCATGTCACCTTTTAAATGCCAATATACCAAAGTTTTTATCTTCGATGGCATGATCTACAGTGCTGGTTGCAACTGCATAATGTGTAAAAAAAAAAAGGGGGGGGGGGGTAAATGATATTTAAAACACTTCCCTGGGGGGGGGGGGGGGCAGGCTAGCTATTATTTGGTATAAAAATGTACTTGTTTTTAAAGATTGTGGCATCACTATGAGAGCATATATAGTTTCATTGTAGAAAATGGAAGGATATCTGTTAATTGTTTGATTACTTCCCCTCACATAGAAATTGGAAAGATATAAAACCGAATGAAAGGTAGATCACAGAGCTGCACAAAATAACAAACACATAGAAATTAACATTTTCCAGATGTGCCGTGATGTCAATAAAGAAGCAAAGGGCTTCATGCCTGCCTGTCTGTTTGATTGGTCTATGGTTCGAAATAAAGACTACTAAGACAGAAAGAATGTCTCACCCCTCACCCTCCACCAAACATCTCATGAAAGATTCTCATGAAGAAATGAAGCGTTAAGCATGGAAACAGGCAAGATGTAAAAAAAAATTTAAAAATTTCACGCCAATATTAAAGTAAATTATCCTTTTCAAGTGGCTGGGACATTAGGATTATGATGGTAAACCCATTTTTACAGTCAAATCAGCACTAGAAGCAGGGTTGACAGATTAAAAAAAAACTTCATTTTGTGCCAAACCATTGCCAAAAATATGCCAGAAAAATGCTAAATAAAGTTAACATTGTACCTACTTCACATCAAAAACTCTAAATTGAATTCTTCACTGTCATCCTCACTGGAACCAGTAGAAGATAAAGCGTAAACCTTTTGAGATGCGAACTCTTTAAGCATTTTCTCGGATGGGATGAAGTCTTGCAACTCATCTATAATGAATCACTTAGTATCAGTAGTGGGTTTTGGTTTTAAATCCTGCATTTATTCTAGTAGATTAACATAAATTACAGAGGGCCTTGGTTTATCGAAGTCACGATCTGTTTAGGAAGACAACAAAATACAATAAGAAATGAAGCGAATTTCCATTACTCCGTACCAGGACATCACAACAAAGTCAAACTGAAATAAAGATAACTGTAGGTCTACATTCCTTTTAGAAAATCTGCTTCTAACGGGGGAACCATAAAGAAAATTTGAGCACATATTGGTAAGAAAAGCCAGGAAAGACCCAAATATGCCAAAATATGCCAGTTCATTATCCTATGCCAGTTCAGTTTCAAATGTGCCAAATTTGTGTAGTCTGGCATCAGAAATGCCAATATGGCAACCCTGACTAGAAGGATGATGTGGTCAGCATGCTAGCTGCCTTTACTTTCCAGAACATTCTCTGATATCCATGTGAGGTTGTGTTGACCTGCAAACCAAGGTCAGTCATCAGAATCTACATTGATGCAGACGTGAACACAGACCTTTCTAGAAGCTGCTGCCATGACACAATAGTAATTGAGTTTTTTTCAACAGGTCCTGTTGGCCATTGGTCGGGATCCCTGCACCAAAGGAATTGGCCTGGAAAATGTTGGCGTAAACCTCAATCCAAAGTAAGCCACTCTCCTGGATTGTTTACAGCCATATGCAGAGTTTGTGTTCTGTAAAATACTTTTAGTATCAGAATATCTATAGAATCTGAAAGAGTTCAATTCATGTTTCAGTTGGTTTTTTTTTATTTTTGTATCCAGTTTCGTCCTTTTTAGGACGAAACTTTTTGTTATTTGAAGCCCCACCCTAGCTTTTGCCAGTTACCGCAAAATAGGCAGGCCATAAATATGGCCAATTGTCTGAACGCGGTTTCTGGGACCTCTCCACGGCGATCCTCATCCACGTGGTGGCACTTTGTGTCATCGTGTGATGTCCTAGTGGGGTAGAAAGTCAGTCAGTCAGTCAATTCATGTTACATCTTTTTTCATCAGGGAAAGTACAGAGAGGGCTCATAGAATTTATTTTTACATTTTTCGTTTTACGAATTGGGGGTCCGAACTTGATTTTAAATTGTTCTTTTATGGTTTTATGAATCTGGGAAAGTACATCGTGGATTATTGGATCAAGACAGCAGTGTCTTGGAACAGAGACAGGGCGATCACTGCTTTAAGGTTCATTTTAAAATTTTATTCACAATGGAATCATCTGTCAACTGAAAGAGGTTAAGAAATATACACAGAGTTAGACAAGCCACTCTACACCTATTTCGTGCAGGTTAAAAAAAAAAAGTTATTGTATTCTTCTTCTTGTTTACTTTCTCTTTTACTGCTTTGGATGTTAAGGGAGATACGAGGTAAGGTACATTTTCTTGCTCTTCTGGCCATCAAGGCCACATATTTGTAGTTTCTTTGATGTTATTTGTCCACCTTATTCCTCGTCAACCTCTAGGACTATGCCCCTCGCCTCCTCTAGTATATATGTGGACGTATCAGATATTTTGCTGTTACCTCCTGTAACATTTACCTTTGTTATTGTTCTTTCAGCAACAATAGAGTCATCACTGACAGAACAGAATGCACCAATGTCAAGAATATTTATGCAATAGGGGACATTGGAGACGGCAGGCCTGAGCTGACTCCCGTGGCAATTCATGCCGGCAAATTGTTGTCCAGGAGACTTTTCACAAAGAGTCAGGCAGTGGTAAATTGTACAGCTTGTTCATTCATGTTGAGAATATACAAATGTACAATGTGTCATGAGTCAACTTTGCCACACTGTGAGAGAAAGACAAACAACGAAAAACAGCAGACAGGTCAATTACTGGTCAGACGGGTTGTGTGTAGACCTGCAGGGCGATACGGGTAACTGAGTGGGGAGGTTACAAGGGGACTGGACAAACAGGTAGAGCGACACACGGCAGTTAGTAGTCTGACAGTCCAGTAAACGGATGTGTTTGTTTGGTGCCCTTTTAAAATGTGGGAATTGTTTTTCGCTTGGGATGGACTGGATTTAAAACTGGAGAGGACAGTAGTGGTTATTCGTACTTGTGACAAGTGTTTCACTTGTGTAGCCGGATTCTAAAGTTAAGTGTTGTAGCCAGGATGATACGTAATTATAGCTATAGAGGTATCCGCTAGCCTCTCATGACTTTGTTCATATTGCGAGGATGATTTGTGATCAGCTATACCAGCGTACTGTTGATGTATTTAGCCAGTGAATACCTGAGATTAGTGTGCTTGTGAGCCATAAGAATAAAATCGGTGGCTACTCAGTAGTCGATAACGTTGTGTGGAAGCCAGACTAACTTTGTAATTATCATCAGTACTTTAATAAACATTCTTTGAGAACTGGAACAAGGTCATCAGCGTTTACATGTTCATGAAAGTGTGGGTACACCTGGCACAAATAACAACGGTACCTGTGTCACACCTATAAAAGGTGTCTGACAAATAGGTGTTGAAAGAAGAGGTCACTGCAGTCAAACATTTCAGAAACTGAATTAACATGATAAAACCTACTAGTAGGAAGCCGTATGAAGGAAAAATTGCACACAATTACAAACATTTCAAGAAAAGTCTTGATTAAGAAATAAAACAACAGTAATCATAAACCACAGCAGACAGCAAGAAGATCACTTAAATCATAAATGGAAAAATCAAGGGTCAAGTTTCACGTGTCCCTAGTTTTTGCTTTTCTGTTCTCTGCAACCTTCTCATTGGGTGTGTGATACTTGTTTCATTTGTCCACTTTCATGTTTAAGTAATGGTAGTACTACTGTTTAACGGTGATGCTGGAAAACTTAACAAGTTGTCGTCCCACATTTTTAGCTGCCAATGACCTGTCGGATGCCCAAACTAAGCCCACCTACCAGCAATGCACATCAGAAAACAGGCCTCAGGTTAACACGACTATGGCTTGCCGGATGGGATGCGATCCATCTGGTAAATACTCCTCCCCTAAACTGCTACAGGCACAGCAAGGCCGCAAATGTTTGGATATGTGTCAGGACTACCACCAAACTGCACCACAAAGAGCCCTGTCACTTTGACTTAATGGAAGCAGAGCCGGGGGTTAATCACGCAAGCAATGGATAGATGGAATATCGGAGGCCATAAATATCAGCGTCTACGTTGCAAATACTAAGACTCTCACCCAATGCTTCTTCAAAACCTGGCACTGTGAGGCAATACAGGGCTAGAGGAGGAGAAGATTACTGTTCATTAAAACACACACAAAAAAAGGAAACAAAACAAAATCCTGTGGTTGTTGAGCTTCCAGGTCATATTTTAGTGATTTGTATTTGATCATAACATGGTGCAAACTAAAGCTGCTTTTTGCCTTGCCACATTGTATCAAATCAAAGCTTACTATCTTCACAAGATTTCACAATCCTTTGGACTCACAAACCAAAGAGTGGAACCTAAAATTGAACTCAGCTTGGGCCAAATGGCTTAACCACTTTTCCTGTAAAACCAAGCATCTGATGTTTAAATTAACACTAAAAGAAAAAAGTTTACCTGCAGTTGCCTCAGAGTGAAATTTTCTTGTTGCTGTGGTTTAGGGTGGAAAAGTTTTAGATTCAGATTCTCCAATTCTGGTTCACCCACTGCCATCCTAACAGGCATGTCATACCAGGCGACTAATTAGGCATGGTTCCTGCTATGTCGAAGTGCATTTGCCTGAGAGGCAAAGAACCCGTAGTCTACACACAAATAAGGCCAGACATGTAAAACAGCATACAAAAGTCAAGTTCTGGAACAAGACTACAGACCAGAAGTGGATGAACAGCCGGAAGTTTTTGTCAAGAGTTTACAAACCAATGAACACTAGAAGGGAATACATTTAAAAAAAATCTTCTGTATGTTTAGTACATCAGTTTATCAAATGAAATATTTTTCTGAATATGTGTAGTAAAATGTCTTCCTGTTAAATAAACCAATTTTTCAGCATAAGTGAAACATCTTTTTAAACAAGTCAATGTTTTACTGAACAGGTTGACTACACCAACATTGCCACAACAGTGTTCACTCCTCTGGAATACGGTTGCATCGGGTATTCTGAAGAAGCAGCCATCGAGAAATTTGGTGCAGACAAAATTGAGGTAGGGAACGATTTCTCTCTGCATTGGGTAGCTTTCTTCTTAGAGTCAGTGTCGTGTGGGGTTGGTTATCATGTCTGTCCACATCATTCTGGTACATGCACATTACTTGCCTGGTCAGGAATATAAATATGTAAATGGAAAGAAGACACAGGCAACAGAATATACACAACAAGGCAGATGTGGTCAGGGCCCTCTGAGAATGAGCAACAGTCAGAAGCGAAACAAGATTATTATGGCCTCGAGAGAATGAGGCACCTAGGTGTAACCAGGGGGTCTGGCCGGCTTAATACACTCAGGGGAGAGACAAGATGTACATAAAACAAGATTACGACTGGTACCATTAGTATTAGAACTCTGTGCTGGCTGCTGAAGATGAGGACTGCCCTAAGTGCTGTGATGTCAATTCTTGACTCAACTCAACTCAAGCAACAGAATATTTTCTTCTTTTTTTTTTTTAAATCAAACAAGTGATGAGTGTCTGGAGGGCGCTGATGAAGCTTCATAATTGTGAAAACAATTACAGAAAACATTACTCACCTTGAAGAAAACAGTTACATAAAACAGATTACTCACCTTAAGAAAACAATTACAGAAAAAAGATTACTCACCGTAAGAAAACAATTACAGAAAACAGATCACTCACTTTTAAGAAAACAATTACAGAAAACAGATTACTCACCTTGAAGTAGGAGAAACATGGAATGAAAGTTACACACATTTGGACACACACATGTTATGTCAGAGGAAATTGTTGACAGTTAAATAGGATGAATTCAAGAGTCAAGAAATGTCAGGACAAACTCTGGTATCAACAGTTACAAATTGGGCAAAAAGTGCCTTTGCAAGGTTTTTTCACATATTTGTTGCATTAGCACAGCTTTTACACAGTTCAGCCTGTTTTATTTTTGTGATCAAGAGCAGATATTAGCAGTCATAATGGAGGGGGCCGCGTTAGCGCAGTCGATAGAAGGCTCGCTTTCAAATCCAGCTGCGACTCGCTGCAGCCCACAGTCGGTGTTTGAAACCGGGCAGTTTCCGGGGTTCACCGAACCTCTAGGAAATAGGTACCAGAGTTAACACTCGGGTAAATGAGGAACTTCGCTGTAGTTATGGAGTTAGGTGAGGACGGCGACACAGGCGGACAGTTTCTTATCAGCTGTCCGTACTGGTGGCAGAGCACTCATGGTTTATAACCGCGTGCAGTAACGCTGGTTCACATTTCCCGACTTTACTTTAGTCAGGAGTTTGTTAACCTGGTCTGTCCTGAGATATTCTAAAGAAGTTAAGGTTACTTATATTATTGTTTTAGTGCCTAGCTGTTTTGTGACGGCGGGGTGGATTTATTGCAGATACTGTTGGAAAGTGAAATGTTAGGCCCTCACATTTTTTTAAGACCACATATTTTTGGCTTATGTGATGGAATAACCAGTTGCCTTTCTCCTCCTCACCCTTTCTTCCCTCACAGTTTCTAGAAAATTATGGAAATTGTCTTGCATACATTTTTTATGAGGTTAGGTTGACCCTAGCGCCATACTGCTCTTAAAAACTCACCATTTCTTAGAATTCTTCATCGTTCGTTAAGTGATGTAAAGCCACTGCATCTGTAGAGTGCACTAACTTTGAGCGTATATGGGATATTATCCGTGTTGCATAATGAGGACGTTTGGCAGGAGTCTTGCACAAGGATCCATAAAACCAGCGCAGAGCCTGCTCACGCCTGAGGTGAGTTATGGAGTATCAACTTGACACATCACAATGACCCTTTCCCTCATGCCTGTGACCAAAATTGAAAGTGGATGACTGCAGGAAATTGCTACCCAGTACACTATAATCATACACATGTATTTAACACATATGCCTGACTGATGCTCTCTTCTTGTCAACTAGGTCTACCACAGCTATTTTATGCCTTTGGAATGGACAGTTCCTCATCGAGCAGAGAACACGTGTTATGCCAAACTAATCTGCAACTTGGCTGATCAGGTATGCCCAGACAACAGTTTAAGCAATGTGGCAGATTAAATCTGTGTGCCCTAATGAAGGAAAACCGTGTGGATTACTTGTCATTGTCACATTTATCTTCTTCTTTTCTCCTCTCCTGGAATGCCTCGTGGTGGCATGGTAGTTAGAGATCTCTAGAACAGGCCCTTCTGTTCACTTTTCATTTTCTGCGAGCACTGAAGTAAGCCATTGTTGATTTGCTGACCAGTCACAGTGTTTTCAAACTTCCTAGAAGGTCACAGTTGAACTTACATTTTTAGTTCTCACAAATTTTTTATTTCAACTCTAAAAATCTTTAGCTTGAAAAAGAAAGATGTTACCTGCATGTCCTCTGCATTCTTCATGAACAGACCTAATATTTATTGGCAATATGTTGTTTCATTAGATAGTTTTACATTCAAATATTTCCCACTGCTTTCTGAACAGTGCAAAGCTTATACCATTGTCAGAATCAGGGAAAAGTAGTTTGCTGCCTAATCACTACATTGACTTTAAACCAGGTCTTTAGTATCGGAACTAGCATTCTTATCTTGTTTTTGATATATTGTAAATAAGAAAGTGCTTGCTGTGCAGGTCAGTTTTAGCCATGACACAGAATTACATTGACCCGACCTAAAATGGGTACCAGGAAATGTTCTGAGAAATCTTCATCTTTGCGTTCACTAGCTACAAGCTCTGGCAGATTGTTCATCCACTTGTGGACTTTAGTCTTGTTCCAGAACTTGCATTTTGTGCGTACATCTTTTTAACAGCTCTGGCTCATCTGTAAGCAGACTGTTGGTTCCTTGCCTCTCTGGCAGATACAGTCCGATTTTGAAGGAAACACTGCACATTATTCAACTTTTACGACATGCATGTTGGTGGCAGTTCCTATTTACTTTTTCTGGCCCATCTGCACACTTTCTCAGTCTGGTCTAGGTCAGAGGGGTGTCACGTGGTACTTTTTCTTCGAAAAGAGTTTCTAGTGGGACCTAGTCTCAGACTGTAGGGGGGGGGGGGGCAGTTTTAGATGTTCTGGGGTCGTTAAAAGCTGTGTCGTCATGTAGTATAGAACATGCAACATCGGCGCTGATATAATTGGAGGCTAGACAACGTGAAACCCCTCTGATGTAGAACAGTCTGAGAATATAAATGAAAGGTGTGCCAGTGTGAAGATGGGCCAGGAAACGTGAAAATGACCGGAGACCATCAGGTCTACTGTTTGTTTTTTCACGGAATCCATGGATATTTCTGTAAAATAAAATAAAGTTATTGATTTAAAAATGTGAGTCTAGCGACATTTAACTAGTTTGCATTGCTGTAAGAAAATCTGTTCCCGTTTTTTTTTTAAAAACCTGACAGCCAAGCTAAGCATATTCTTGAATTCATGGCTTTGCACTTTCAGGAACGAGTCATCGGTTTCCACGTGCTGGGACCAAACGCTGGTGAGATCACCCAAGGATATGCAGTAGCCATGAAGAAGGGCGTCACAAAAGAGGACTTTGATGCAACTATTGGCATTCATCCGACGTGTAGTGAGGTAAGAGTTGTAACTGACTCTTGAGTGTCTTGGTCATTGTTTGTTAAACAGATGGCACAAGATGCCTAGCAGAGAGATTCAAGCTAGAATCAGCGTGACAAAAGTAGCCTTTTCTCAGATGCAGAATGTAAGGATAGAAAAATGTCTGCTGCAGTGAGAAAGTGAGTGAAACATGGACAGTAAGTAAATAAACTGAAAAACATCTCATGACAGTAGTAATGTGGCTTCTGAAAGAAATGCTAAGAGTATCAGGGGTTGAGAGGAGAAGAAGAAGAAGAGGCTGTGCTTCAAGAAGACATGGACAGTTAACAGCCAAGCTGAGAAACTCTTAATAGCAGCAATGCAACAACAAAAATGTTGTGCGTGGACAGAAACATGAAAAAGGCAGTCGCTGTGGCAAGAGTTACATTGTGGTTTCGCAAGCCAGCTCTGTACATCTTATTTCAAATTCATTTGTTTCCTGTTTGTTTTCCTTAGCTTTAGACTGAGACAGTTTACATTCTTTGGTCATGAAATGACAAGGAGAAAACTGCCGTACTTCATGACAGTGAGAAAGTTGGAGGAGATAAAGGCATAGGGAGATAGCGAATAACCTGGTCAGCTGTGATATCATGGCATGGAAGATCATCTATGGCAGAATTGACTGAAAGTACATGAGACACCAGGTGGATATACATGACTACCAACACCACAGAGCAGGGACTATAAGAAGAAGCTTTTGACTATCTCTAGTCTGCCTACAAAGCAACATTTTTTTTGTCTCTGTTCTGCTGCTCCTGTCCGATGGTTGTGCTGTTTGGGTCATTGGAACGCAGAGGTTCGTCTACCACATGAGGGTGGAGACAAGTCAGGACACACAAAAAAAGAATGAAAAACCCTGAATTTGTCACAGAAATTAGATTCTGGCAGTGTTTTGTTGCTTGTGAGAAGAAATCTCCTATTTAATACAAATGTGCCCGGCCACCTCACTGCTATCTCCATCACTGGCGATCCAAATCATGGATGAAAAAGGAAGAGGGTTAGGCATGTTTGTGGGGGGGGGGGGGGCAGCTTTTCCACCCTGTAAAAATATTATAGAAAATTGTAGAAATGGTAGCCGTTACAGCAAACTAAGTCAGAAGGTTGCAGTGCTCATGTGACATCTGCTTTCATCAGCAGACGTCATTAGCTAGACCTGCTCACTGCTTGGCTGGCTAAAAAATTAAACAGAGGCCAAAGATGCGGGATTGGATTCCACTGCATCCCCAAAAAAGGTTGTAAGAGTCGCCTAACTAGAGCTTTCTTTGAAGTTGAAGTGCATCTGCCTGATATGCAAGAAACCCAACAATCTGCATGCAGATAAGCTGTATCTGTAAAACAGATGTCCATGCAACACTCAATTTCTGAAATACCACTCAAGTCCAGAGGTGGTTGAACAGTCGGAACTGTCCTATGGAGTTTACAGCCGGTGAACGGGAAGAAGAGGAAGAAGAAAAAGGATTCAATCTACCTTGAAACGGTTGCACAGTGTAATGAAATGGAAGAATAAACTAAGCCATATGTGATCTTAAAAGCACGACAGGAAGATAACATTTGTTCAGTGCCCGGTTGGACTTGTGTTTTACTTACTTAGTCGCTTCTCTTCTACCTTGGGGTGTAGAGGCTTGCCAGAGAGATCGCCAGACGTCTCTATCAGCAGTTTTCTTTCTGGCTTTGTTCCATTCGGACTTGTGTTGAGAAAACCTGATATTATAATGACATCCTTTATTAGAACCCACAGAGAGATTTATTGAGACATAAACGCACCTGGAGAAAAGAGTTAGAGGGGTTGATTTTGATAGTGTCAGAACAAGGAGGTAGCTGGGGGAGGCAGAACACATAAAATAACTCAGACAGTATACTGATCTGTATATGTATTTTGTAAACTAGATCACTGCGATGTAGCTTTTTCTAGACATCCAGAAGTATCCGGTGTCCCTGCTATTCAGCTGTTAAATACGTATGTTGAGACACCAATTTGATATTTTTTTTTTTTTTATTGTGGTTCAGACGATAGTATTGTCTGGTCACTGTTCTCACTCGTCGTGTTAGGATCAGTCTTCAGTACAGTTACATTAAACTTACACTCTATTCAGCATGTGGTTACCTCACATTCCATTCATGTGAGGGACTGGCATCTCCAACACAGCGCCACAAATCTTCAGTCTTCCTGTCAAAATGGACGCTAGGCACAGTTTTTGCTTCTGCCAGATGGTGGCCGTTGCATTTTTGCTCCATTGGTAGCCTGAAATGATATAGTTTCTCGTCACCCAGCTACTGAGTTGAGTTCATGGTGTGACACTGTAAGCTGCAGATTTCATTTGGAGTGTTTTTCTACTCTGAACATAGTATTGTGAATTGTAGATTCAGAAAATGGTGCGTGGCCTGTCATTGCAATATTGGTGGTGCCCTTATATGATTAAAATTGATCGTGTGTGCAGCTGCTGATCTCCTGGTAACTTCTGCTACCATCGGTAATGAACTGCATTTCTAATGTCGGACTGTTTGTGTTAGCCATACTGATGGGAACCGAACACTTTTAATGCATGTGTGCTAGTGCATTTGCTGAGACAGCAGTCTGTCACAAGGGACTGTAATAAATATTCTGTGTGTTTTTCATTGGCACAGGAGTGGAGCAACTATAGGGTGGCCCGTTTGCTATGAAGCTAAAACTACGATTACCAAATCTTCACAGTCGTTCTGGGTGTCAGTTCAAGCTAGCTTCTGCTCTGCCATTCATCCTTAGGCGGAAAGCTCCACGCTGTCAGCAGTCACATTTCATAACAGTTGACCAATCACTCCGGCTGTCAGACACTAACTATTTCTGTCTCCTTTCTCACCTTCAAACCATCGCTCAGGTCTCACGGAAATTTGCTCTGGTCTCTTTCTCTCATTTAACTGCTCCTTGACACTAACTCATCATATTGGGAAAACCTTTTGGATTCCCGAGGATTCTGCCTCACTAAAATAACACATTAACAGTTCTAAATGCTTTTGCTGATCAGTGGTTTGTTTCTTTTCAGATTTTTACAACGCTGCATGTGACCAAGAGGAGCGGAGAGAGTGCCGAAGTGACAGGTTGCTGAGGTTAATTCCCCACTGCTTTCCCTGCAGTATAGCAGCTGTTGCACTGAAAATGTCCGGTCCCAGTTGTAACTTGTGTAAGCACAACTGGAGCTGGAGAACTTGCAGATGTTGGCTTCATCTAGAGCTAACTGATCTCGAGTGCACAAACCAGGACCAGCCTTTTCTGATGCTTCTGCTGCAATTGCTGTAGGGAGCGGTGGGGATTCTGTCTGCATTTAGACATGCAGTGTGTCGAGTGCTCGTGTATGAGTGCTGTATGACGGCTCTGCCTTGAAGCCTTAATTCAAGGTGGGCGGAGCCTGAACACGCCATGCTGCATCTCTTGTTCTGACACTAGGTTTCATGGCACTGACTATGGAAACATAATCAATTTTGTGTTTGCTGTTCTAATACTTGCACTCCCAAGTTGTAGTTAATGTTTAACTCCTATCCTACATGAAGCTACTTTGGTCAAAAGGAGTTTAACAGAGACACTATTAAACAAGTAGTTAAACTACTTATAATTCAGATACAAAGGGTATATGTCTGGGATATTGTTTGTCTGTCGCAAGTGATGAAGACCACTTACAATTTTTGCGGGGGGAAAAATATAACCATCATGAGTACGAAGATGACAGGATTCCAGTTTGAGCATAGAATGCTTTTGAACAGTGCCGGTTGATTCCGACTTGGGCCTCGGAAAGTTCTTGAGCAGTGCCGGTTGATTCCGACTTGGGCCTCGGAAAGTTCTTGAGCAGTGCCGGTTGATTCCGACTTGGGCCTCGGAAAGTTCTTGAGCAGTGCTCACAACAGATAGAAGAGATATTGGAAGAAAGTGACTTAGAATCAAGTTATGGAGAATTGCCCAATGCACCATCCTCACCATCTGGTTTATGTCCTTCTTGATAGACAACACACACAAACATCAACCTATAATAAATGGTTCAGTGCTGAAAGAGTTGAACCAAACATCTAGACATACCCACATTTGTTGATTTAGCAGCACAGTTAGCTTTGCTCGTCATAGTCTCTGCCATGTTGCCGAACTCATGTTTCTATCATTGAAATTTTGAATGTACATCGAATACTGTACCTTTGTGAGTCCATATTTCACTTTCATACATTGTCAGCTTATTGTTAACGAATATTACTGCACGAGCTATTATGGTCGTGTTTATACAGAGTTCATTGTTCAACTTGTGGTGATGGCAAGAGTTCAAAAGAAAGGATGTAGTTTTAACTAGTTTAAGTGTAGTGTTCTTGGTGTTTGTTGGTTTCCTTGATTCTATATTGCTGGTTTTTTATATTATTTTTTTTTTTAAGAGTATTTATTGCTCATGCTTTGTTGAGAAATTTTTTTTTAGGTCGTCTTCAGGACATTGTAATCTTGAATCCCAGCACTTATTTGCTGTACGGAGATTTTATGTTGCCACTTCTTTCACCATGGTGTAAGGCACATACTGATGTTAACGAATCCATTAGCTTAAACGACAAGACAGAAACCCTATAGAATATTATGCAAATGAAATGAGTAGACAGCTAAATAAACCATGTTTTTGGTTGTTTTCTAATTTATTAATTAACTTGACTTCTGGCATTTAAATGTTTTTTGTAAGTGTTCAGTATGTCTTAGTCCAGAGTTTAAAAAAAAAAAAGGTAATTGCATTCCCTGCAGAACCAACTCCGGAATTTGTTTTGGCTGTTGAGGTTTTTCAGTTTACCTTCAGCAGTTTTTTCCGGAGGTAGGTGATTATGAAATTTGGGTGTAGTTAATTTCCTTGGACCATTCTCATGGCTTTCAGACGGTGATTTGAAAGGCACACAGGGCCTTACAACATAGTACCCCCCCCCCCCACACACACACACACACACACACACACACACACAGCAGGGGGTGCTTGCATCTATCCGTTGCAGCCGACCTTCCCTCGACGAGACAGTTCAGTAAAATATAATTTTCTCAAATGGTTGAATTGGTCAAAAAGACTATTGTTACTGTTGATCACATTTTTGTCATGGTTGTACATAATAATTGTTTATTTCTTTGTTTTAGTATTTGTGGTTTGCAAGTGACAGAATTATCCTTGATCTTTATCTTCCTTTCTTAACAAATTTGTATCAGGTGTCATGTACGTAAATTAGTTTTCAAAGCAAAGACGATGCCCTCACATGACTTCTGGCAAATGGTAGGGCAACTGTTGTTATTACCCAATTGATATTATAATTATTGCACATGTCTTATTGCTTTTAGTTTGGAAAATATGCAGTGATTATACAACAATATTGCATTACCTTTTTTCTTTGCAGTTATCTCATCACCTCGTGATTTGCCAAATTATAAATGGCAGGGCTGTTCAACTGGCGGCCCGTGGCCAAATCTGGCAGGTGATCTGCAGGCCAAATCTGGCCCGTAAAGGCCTAGCAAGTGGCCCTGCAGATCACCTGCCAATTCTTTCTATGTTGGGACTATATAACGTTCCCCATTTTCCAGACTTTGGCCCCTGCGTAAACTTAGTTGAATGGCCCTGATTTATGACTTCTTTTCTCTTCAAAGATCTTGTTCTGGCAAATGATATATGGCTTCTTTTCTCTCCATAGATCTTGTTCTGGCAAATGATATATGGCTTCTTTTCTCTCCATAGATCTTGTTCTGGTAGGAACAATTCTTTTGATTCTTCCCATCATTTCAGACCATCTAGCATTATTTTTCTGATGTAGCCAGTATCAGTCACAGAAATTGTTCTGAAATAAATCAGCTTAAGTGATCGAATGGAGCTTGTATATTGTTAATAAACATGGCTGTAGTATGTATTGGGTATGTTTCTGAATTTGTTTTTGTTTTTTAAAACAATTCACATTGAGATAAGGTCATGTTTGATGTGCATGTGGCTGTTGGTAAATGACATTTTGTGCATGATGTAACGATTAAAATTGTTTAATTAAAAAATTGTGTTTTTGTTCTCTGTTCCCCACGATTCTGATATTCGATCCATGATGTTGTCAACATCACGTCCAATTTGATTACTAACTTTACTTTTACTTAGTCGCTCCTCTTCTACCTTGGGGTGTAGAGGTTTGCCAGAGAGATCGCCAGACGTCTCTATCAGCAGTTTTCTTTCTGGCTTTGTTCCATTCCAGTCCTCTGTCAGTCAGGGACTGTCGGATGTTGTCTTCCCAGCGCACCCTGGGTCGTCCCGGAGGTCTGGTTCCCTGGTTCTTAGCCTCCCATGCTTGCCATGGTGGCCGATTTTCTCCCATTCTGCACACATGTCCAAACCATCGTAACTGTGACTGATCCACTCGGGTTAGTAAGGGCTGGGTATCAAGATCTTGACGTATTGTCTGATTGCGGACTTTGTCCCTTCTTGTCACTTGGACCACCTTTCTCAGGTATCTCATTTCCGAGGCCTGCAGCTGGCTTCTGTGAGCTGTTGTCATTGCCCATGACTCACACCCATAGGTCAGGACTGGTACATAGGTAGAGCGGTAAACAGCCATTTTCGTTCTCTTGCCAATTTCTCTTTTGCTAAGAAACCCTCGGTTTATGGCCTGGAAGAGTCTCCCAGCAGCTGCTTTTCGTGTAGCCAGCTCAGTCTTAATGCCTCCATTTTGGTCTAATACAACTCCAAGGTATTTGAACTGGTTAACCTGCTCCAACGCATACTGACCCATCATGATCTGGTGTTTCTTCTCCTCTCTTGAGATCACCATGGTTTTAGTTTTGGAGACACTGATGGTCATCCCTTTCTTTTCAAGCTCTTCCTTCCAGACAAGTAAGTTGGACTGAAGGTGTGCCTCTGATTTAGCTATCAGGGCCACATCGTCTGCAAAAGCCAGCTCTGATATACAGATTGGTCTCATCTTCCAGTACCCTACAGAGTACTTCTTTGTCTTCTCCTTACAGGTCTTTTTGATTACTAAACAAAATAAAAATACACAATCTGTGAAACACAAGATGCGCTAAATTACTCTGGAAACTTTCTGTGGACCACACAACATTATCCTGGATAATAAATATATTTCAGACTTCCTGAGACCTCAGAGACAAATTTTGATAGAGGAAAATGAGAAGATTCTTGATATCTCTTATTGTGTGCAGCTGGTTGTTTCTTGCTGCTCGGACAGATGTACTCTGACTTCAAAGGAAGCGTCCAATTACTCATCTCTACAACGTGCTTGTTGGGAAGGCAGTTGATCTATTCTTGTTTTCTCCATACTGGAGCCCTGCAACCCATACCCCTTGATGATACACACACATAAGAAGTAAATATGTGACATGACAGAAGCAGCACTGTTTTTGTAGAATATTTAATTTTTCTCTATTCCCAACTGACAAAAAGCAAAAGCTACTTTGATAATCAACAACATGTAAAGTTAATCTTGCAAGTAAACTATAAATTTGAACATTACTGCATTTTACTTTTGTCTCCACAATTAAACAGTTTGCTCCTGACAACAATGTTACAGTGACCTTCACACACTTGAACAATAAATATTTGAAACAAGTTGAATCATAAATACTGTCATGTGCCAATTCTTCAAGTCAATTAAAGAAAAACCAATAATGTCATGTGCCAAGTCAACCAGAAACAATACTGCCATGTGCCAGGTCGACCAGACTCAGAAATGTCAACTGTATATTCTCAAGTCAACATAAGTACTGCCAAGTCAACCATAAAACAGTAATACTGTCATGTGCCAATTTGCTAAGTCAACTAGAAAGTACAAATGTCACATGTTGATCTGCCAACAATTCAGTACTTCTTCACTTTCTGTTTCACAACTTCAGGTCTCAAGGGAGAAATAATAGTTCTGCTTTTTTGCTCTTCTGGTGCCCTGGACCATGGGCATATTGTACTGGTGTAGTTTCTCTCATGTTATCGTTCCTTATTGTTTTTGATCTACCTCTTGCTCTACTTCTCTTGTAATTCAAGAATAACCAATATTTTACTGCATACCACAGTAACTAAAAAAACAACAACAAAACTGCAACATAGAACATGCATAGAACAAGCACAAT